GAGAATTGAGGAAGTTATTCTAAGGGGAGATAATTACGATGGATTCCTTTTTCCCAGGTTTGAGTTTCTATGGTTTCTGCTCCCAACGATCAAACCCCAAAATAAACAATTTATAAGTTTTACTTCATAAAAGAAGGATTTGCTTCATTATTGTTGTTAGCTGGTTGCAGGATGTGTGTATGTAAAGAGTTTTCTCCTTGGTTTTGGCTGATATCTACTTTGTTCCTAGGTTGAGTGTGACATTTAGGCCAAGCCTAAAAGATATAGGACATCTACTTCTTTAGGTTTATTTTTATGTTGAATGCCATATTTTTTAACATTTTTTACGATTAGTTTTATGAATATCTTAGATTATATATATATATATATATATATATATATACACACACATATGTGTGTGTGTGTGTGTGTGTGTGAGAGAGAGATTCGCAGACAGTACTGCTTCGTTGAGTCACAGCCCCTCAGTGCGACTAGACAACCGAATGCCTCAAGGCCGGATCGAAACCCAAACGATTTGTTGTCATTCAGAATTTCTACTATTGAGCTATCTTCACACAGAAATGATGAGTCAGCCAACTATAGTGTATTGTTTTTATATATATATATATATATATATATATATATATATATATATATATATATATATATGTGTGTGTGTGTGTGTGTGTGTGTGTGTGTGTGTGTGTGTAGTGTATGTCTGCGTGTAATATTTTATCATTCTCACTCTCATTCTCGCTCTTTCTCACCTTCTCTCGCGCTTTCTTTTCTTTCTCTTAATACTTCCACACACACACACACACACACACACACACACACACACACACACACACACATATATATATATATATATATATATATATATATATATAAAAAGTTTCCATGCCTGATGTTGACCGAAGAAACTGTCAGAAATGGTTGCATATTTAAGGAAGACATAATACAGTTTATAATTTTAGAAAACAAGGATCATAACATTCATCGAGTGTGTTGTGAGTTAATGCATTTTTAAAATTTAGTGAGCGAAGTGAATTTGCAATTTTATCACATTAACTTCACTAATTTACTTTTTGTATGAATGGATCAGTGTAATATAAATTAAACTGCTCCACATATTTAATTTAAACGAACGTTCAAATTTTCAGGAAAACAATTGAGAAATTTCTCTACTAATTCAACTATTTAGGTCATGACATGAAGATTGATAAACATATACAAGAAAAAAGTCATAAATTCCCATATTAGTAAAAACGATCTGATTTAAATTTTCAAAAGTTCTACCTTAGCGCTGAGACGCTCCACAAGATTGTATCTGTTATCAACACAATTAAAAAACATATTTCGATTTGCATTATATTTTCCGTCTCGGATGCCACATGAATTTTACAAAAAAATAAGAGTTTCCATGCTTGATGATGACGGAGGAACTGTCGAAAGTACTTTCATATTTAAGGAAGACCTAATACATTTTATAATTTTTAAAAATCAAGTATCATAATATTAATCGAGTGATTACTGGGTTAATACATTTTTAAAATTTAGTTAGCGAAGTGAATTCGCCATTTTATGTCATTAACTTTACTAATTTACTTTTTGTTTGAAAGATTCATAGTAATATATATATATATATATATATATATATATATATATATATATATATATATATATATATATAAACCTAAAGAGTTGACAAATCTACCCGGCTTTCTGACGATCCGCTTAGGTGAAACCTGGGTAGGTTTGTCTGGCTCCAAAGGTATCTAGGTCTGCTCACGGTTGTATTGAGCTCTTTTTTAGTTAGTTGTTTACTCGTATCCCAAATTTTTTTCTTTGGGCTTTAAACCTGTATCTGTGCGATTTTTTTTTGACAGACTTTCATGTTTCTAGCTCTTTTTTTTTTAAAAAACTTTTTCCTCGAGATTGATTTGATTATTGGCAAATCAAAAATTCGAAGGTTTTTCAAACGAGTATAGTTACCTATATATATATATATATATATATATATATATATATATATATATATATATATATATATGAAAATGACGTGGTGCATTATTATATATCAAAATTTTTAGGAACAGCAATGAAAAAATGCTACTGTTATTAAAAATGGAAGCAGTTTACTAAGGCGGAAGTGTATAGAAAATGATTTAATCGCTAGATCAACAACAGTACATTTACCTCCATATTTTTACAGTATTTCACCTTCCTTAGTAGATCTTCTGTGTTGGATATTGAATAAAACGTCATAAAAACAGAGAAAAAGACACTAAATGAAATTGATAAGACTATAAATCTGAAGATATTTTGTTTTAATTTTAATTTAAATTAAAAAATATCATATATATATATATATATATATATATATATATATATATATATATATATATATATATAGTGGGGAAATAAATATTCGTACACATGAAAAATTGTATTTTATAAATATAAAAGCCTTAAATAAAACAAATTTTGATACATTTTATGTGTAAAGACACATTTTAAAAAAAAATAGTAATAAACTTAATTATTCTAACAGAAATTAATGCATTTTTCATTTTAACTGATGAAAAAAGTATTCGTACAAAACAAAAAAGAATATTAATTTAATAATTTGTGGAATATCCTTTATTGAATTCAATGATACCAGTCTATTCCTGTACGTCTGAACTAATGATTTGCACATTACTGAGTGATATTTGTCCCATTCTTCTTGCATTTTTTTCTTCAAATTCTTGATATTTGTTGGTGCTCTTTTCCCAATTTGAATTTTCAAATATCGCCATAAATTCTCGATTGAGTTCAAGTCTGGGGACTGACTTGGCCATTGCAAGACATCAATATTACTTTCAGCTAACCATTTCCTTGTAGATCTAGCGGGTTTGCTTAGATCATTATCCAGTTGGAAACCCAATCAGAACAGGTGCTCTAGCCAAAGTTCTCAACAAAACGCATTAAATTGTCTTGCAGGATTTTCTGGTATCTTTCGGCCTTCGTCTTGAGAAGATCTATTATTGATATTCTGCCAAAACCTTTTTGGGATTAAAAAACAGCCCCAGATCATGATACTGCCACCACCAAACTTTACAGTTGGCAACGTGTTATTTGGTAAGTAGGCTTCACCGTCCTTCCTCCACACATGATTTCGATAATTATTTTAGTTTCATCTGTCCATAGTACTTTTTCCCAAAACGAATATTCTTTATCCTTATGCTCTCTAAAGAATTTTAGCCTAGCATCTTTGTGTCGTTTCAAGAGGAGTGGAGTCTTCCTTGGGATGCGTGATTTCAGACTGTTTTTGTGTAGTCCATTACTTATTGTACGCTTGGTTACTTTAATACTTAATGCACGCAGATGTTCCTGCAGCTCTTCTCGGGTAACCTGTGGATTTTGTTGGATCTGGCGTCCCAATATCCTTGCTGATCTTAGAGAAATCTTCCTCGGAGCACCTGTTCGTCTTTGTTTTCGACGCTGTTACGAGTTTTAAACCTTGCAATGAACGAAGCAATTGTAGTAAAAGGAATATTCAGGTTGCTAGAAATCGTTCTGTAATTGTTCCCATCTTTCCAAAGAGAAAAAATGTGTTGTTTCTGTGAAATAATCAATTATTTACCTTTAGGCATTATTAGAACCTTCTCGTAAGCGTAGAAATTGCAGAATGCTCTGATAATGGCTAATAGCGTTAACTATAATTACTGATAACGGTAGCTGGAACATTCTAGAATATTTTTTCATAATTAATTGATTTTATTCTAATAATTGATTTGTACGAATACTTTTTTCACCAGTTAAAATTAAAAAAAAATGCATTAATTTCTGTTAGAATAAGAATTAATTAAGTTTATTATTATTTTTAATAGTATGTGTCTTTATACATAAAATGTGCCGAGATTTGTTTTATTTAAGGCTTTTACTTTTATAAAAATACAATTTTTCAAGTGTACGAATAATTATTTCCCCCATCCACTGTATGTATCATTTGTTTTGTAAGAAAGGACATGTAACTTAGACATATTATTTCGATGGTCACTTGAAAAAAAATGAATACTATATGTTCAAGATAACAGGTAATAGATTCTCGCGCGGATTTTATATAGGAGTTGCCCTCTTTTAGACTGAATTCCTTAACTGCTCCTTTTGGGAATTCCTCGTGATGTCTGACCTGTGTGCGTGTGTGTGTGTGTGCATGTGTGTATCTATTTACTAAAGAGTGCTAAATGTAAAAAAAGAAGATTTGGGTGAAAGAAGAAACTATATATATATATATATATATATATATATATATATATATATATATATATATATAAGGGAACATTGATGAAGTCAACACTCAGAGGCGAGAGGTTGTTTAATGCCAGACGCAATCGTCAGGTGGCCTGACGATTGCGTCCAGCAACCTGTCGCCTCTGAGTGCGTTGACTTCAATGTTCACTTTTATTATATTTACATACGCTCTATCTCTGATATTGAGAATTTTATCCATAAATATAGCGTTACCTTAAAACTATATATATATATATATATATATATATATATATATATATATATATATATATATAATATATATATATATAAGTAATAAAAACAATTTGTTTGGAGCCTATCATGATTACCCAGCCATTATGTTTTACCTGACCTAATACCACTAAACCTAGACTATATATTGATGACTATACTGAAAGATGTTTACAGGCTCAAACCGAAAACAATTCCTGTATTAAAACAAAAAATTCTGGTCAGTGTTTCTGAAATTAATATAGATATGTGAAAATGGTTTGTAGCAATGTTGGAGAAGTGTTGTTCAGCATTGTATTGAACATTAAGGGGTTTGAATATATTATGATATATATATATATATATATATATATATATATATATATATATATATATTTATTTTTTTGTGTGATGCTATTTTTATATGTTATTGTGTGTGCTTATATTCTGTGTTCGGGGAAAGAAGAACTAAATTTGTATCCATAAATAGATTGGTAGACGTATGTGTCCACATGCAGTCATTTTTTCCAATCAACGTTAAAAGAACTTGTCTTTATTTACGCCATTAAATATTCTAAAATCATACATTGGTTTCGATGAGAAAGATTTATTTTCACCGTTCTTTGAAATAAATGTCCAAAAATATATTTTTTAAAAGATTTTTCGTAAGCATCATAAATAATAGAAGAAAAAAATCACTTGGGAATTTCGCAAGGTGTTCGTCTCATTTTGGCAATTTCTTCAGCAACACGGATACAACACACTCCGAAGTCCTACTACACTACAACACAAACCCCATCCCTGCCATATATATATATATATATATATATATATATACAAACACATATATATAAACAGATATACGATGAAATTTACATTTGTGTGTCTACATAAAAGCGTATAAGAAATGAAACATCAAAACACACATACATTCATACACAGACAAAATTTATGTTAAAATAAAGAAACGTGCGTATATACTCATACACTCATAGGTCGATTTATCTCAATCTGTTAATGTCTGTCTCATTCTGTTCATATGTAACTCTCTATCTCTTTCTATCAATATATCTAATTCATTTTCTTTATATCTATCTATCTATCTATCTATCTATCTATCTATCTTGAACATTTCTCTGTTAACAAATATATCTACACTACATATATACACGTTTCTTCATTGCGTTCTCTACCTCTCTCTCTAGCTGTCTATCGCAATCTGCTCAAATCTATTTTCAATCTATCTATCTATCTATCTATCTATCTATCTATCTATCTATCTATCTATCTTGCATATTTCTCTGTTAACAAATATATCTACACTACATATATACATTGCGTTCTCTTCATTGCACTATCGTTCTGCTCAAATATTTTCAATCTCTCCCTATCTATCTATGTCTATCATCTATCTATCTATCTTGCTCAAATATCTACACTATATATATACACTTTCTTTCATTGCGTTCTATCTAGATGTCTATCTAAATCTATCTATCTATCTATCTATCTATCTATCTATCTATCTATGTCTATGTGTACCTGAATGTTCGTCTGTGTGTTTCAGAGTGTTTCACACATAAAGAAAAAACCCATACAGACAGTTATATATATATATATATATATATATATATATATATATATATATATATATATATATATATATATATATAGATATATATATATATATAGACTATCCACCACGAATAGACAGAAGAATTCAATATGGAGTTATGGAGAAGGTGAACTAAAGAAACATGACTGAATATACCTGGGAAACAAGAAATCACTGACGAATTCCTGACATCGCTGCATATTGACGATGCTTTTTTTTTTTTAATTCTTCTTCTTTCTCCTCCCCTATATTCAAATGTATCGCTCCAACACCGAACATTGCTGAAATCTCATCCCCTGTTCTAAGCGATGGACACTTTCCCCGACAGTCTTTATCCGATATTATCCTGTCTTTTTTGTCATTTCTCTCTCTCTCTCGCTCTCTCTCTCTCTTTTCTTCTCTCTTTCTCTCTCTTTCTATAACATGGCCTCTTTTCCTCCCCTAACGAACACGCAGCTTTCATTTTATATTCTCGCGTTTTTTTTTTTCTTTCTTGTCTTTTTCAGGATCGCATTCTCGGAATATCTCCCAATCTTTCGCTCACTGCAGGTCAATCTCTCTCTTTCTCTTTTCCTGTGCACTTTCCGTGTGCAAGTATGCTTCCCTCAATGTGTGTATAGTGGTTAGGCAATTGTGGAAATGGTGTGAAATGTTTTTCTCATGTTCTATTGGTTCATTTTTAAACTATTTCCCGATGCGTTCTTGCATTTTTAAAATTTATTAGAGTATCGATGAAGCCTTTTAAAAAATATAACAGAAGTTTTAAAAAAACACACCATATATATATATATATATATATATATATATATATATATATATATATATATATATATATATATATATATATATCTGTGTGTGTGTATAATTGTTCATATATATAAGTATTTATAAATGATCATTGGGACGCATATATATATACATATGCATATTTATGTGTGTGTGCTTATATATATTTCTATTTATATACATTTATGTATATACATATGAAGAAATACATAGTCTTAAGTTCTGCTATATTTATCGGATAAAGTACCCAATATCAGAGATAGAGCGTGTAATATAGTGAATATTGAAATCAACATTATACAGTCTGTTTCCTGCTAGACACAAACGTCATTGCGTCTAGCATGAAAAAAGAGACTGTCAAAGTGTTGACTTAATGTTCACTTTTATATATATATATATATATATATATATATATATATATATATATATATATATATGTTCAGAGAGACTTATATATGCATATACACACACATATAGATAGATAGATAGCTGGATAAATATATATAGAGAGAACGAAAGAATAAATCAAAGATAAAAATAACAGAATAAAAATATATGTTTCCTCATATCTATCTATCTATCTATCTATCTATCTATCTATCTATCACGTTGTTCATATCTATCTATCTATCTATCTATCTATCTATCTATCTATCTATCTATCTATGAATGTTGATTGAATGTTGTAAAAAAGATTTACAGGTAGGTAAAAGTTCTCTAAAGAGGGAAAATATGAAGCTTTCGCTCGATCTTGCGAAATATTTCTGAAATAGCTCTTTCAAACACACCTTCAATCAATCTATCTATTCTTAATTCTGTTCATGTCTGTTTTTAAGTCTATTCACATCTATCTATCTATCTATCTATCTATCTATCTACACACACGTGTGTGTGTGCGCGCGCGCGTGTGGAGATAATGAGAAAACTTTTAAAACCTTTTAAACAAGACGTTTCGTCGACGTGACGTGTATGAAGATCGGATTCTTCAGGTTGGAATTAAAGACAAAGCTATTTGTAATAAAATTGTGATTTTTGAGCATAAGAGCTGCAGTGAATTGTACTGCCTTATCAGATCCGCCGACCAGAAAGCGGAAACTGTTTTGGACAGAATGAAACGGGGAGATTAAGAATCCCGTAGAGAGACATAGTAACATAGAAACATATACAAATCTATCTATCTATCTATCTATCTATCTATCTATCTATCTATCTATCTATCTATCTATCTATCTCTCTCTCTCTCTCTCTCTCTCTCTCTATATATATATATATATATATATATATATATATATATATATATATATATATATATATATATATATATATATATATATATGAAGAAATTTTTGAAAAACAAACAAAATCCTTAAATGTAGTTAAATGAAAGAAATGTCGACGTCTGACGTTTCGGTTTATTAAACCTTTTCAAGACAATATTCATCAAAATACAATTCAGTTCAATATGACAAAAATATGGACATAAAAACACAAGTCTTATTCAGAACATATAACTGAAAATTTTTAAAAATGATCAGCCTTCCGTCTAACATATATATATATATATATATATATATATATATATATATATATATATATATATATATATATATATATATATATATATACATGCATATATATTATATTTCGATATATATATATATATATATATATATATATATATACTTGCGGTAGGTTATTCGTGAGTATGAACACATTTTGTTAAAATTAGCAGACATAATATCATATATATATATATATATATTTTATATATATTCATGCACGTTTCATTAAATAATATAGACAAGTGTTGTCTGTTTATTCTATGTAATTTTTTTTCGTAACATCTGATAAGTTTAATAACATTATCGTTGAACGAAGAAAGAAATTTACAATATTGATCCATAATTTTTTTTTAAATACAATCTAAGCTTTCAGCTTACATAAGCCATTATCAAAGATGTAAATTACAACATATTAAACAATATACGGACACGACAGTGATGATATATGTATATATAAATATTATTGTTATATATATATATATATATATATATAATATTATTGCTTATTAATTATATTTTTTATATATATATATATATATATATATATATATATATATATATATATATATATATATATATATATATATATATATATATTTGTGTATTAATATTATAATACAGGGTACGGCAGAAATATATCTCAAATACCGCGCAAAAATACCTCCTCTCTAATGGTATCAATCATAATGGTGTCTTCATCTAGGTCAGTGTGTCTCAATCTGGGTTCATATGGACTCTTAGTGCTCCATGTAACATTACTAGGATTCACACAAAAGAACTAGTTATTTTACTAGTAAACATAAATTTTCCATAGAATTTGTTTGTTAAATACAAATTTATTTTCATTAAATTAGTTTTATTTCAACATAGGCATATACATTTACTATTTCTGTAATAAGATTCCTAAACTTCTCTATTGGCAAAAAAATTTCATCGAAGGGTGGGATCCACCAAAAAAATAAATAAATAAATACGAGTAAAAGTGATCGATGGATAAAAACAGGTTGAGTACTACTGATCCAGATAAGGCATCGGCATCATATGGAAGGTATTTCTGCGAGTCATTTATGATTTGTTTTGTTTTTCTGTCGGAACATTATGTTATAAAATTAAAAAAATACATAAAAGTGTATATTCGTGATGCAAAAACATTTAATATTATTTCTTAAAATACAGTGTGCTTCACAAAAATACAGGAAATTTAGATTTATGATAAGATGAAAAAAAATTAATTAGTATATTAAAAATATATAAATTACTATATGAATGAACTAACAAAATAATTAACATACAATTTTTTTAACGAGTTGTTATTCATATTTTCAAGTTTTAAGAAAGAACATCCAACTAGGAAACTGAGAAAATGCCAAGAAATTTTGCCTGTGTTCTTTAGAATCGATAACCAAAAATCAGTTTACCGAAGTTGAAGCTGTTCATTGCTTTTGCTTCATATAGCTTTAACAAAAATTCTATTAATTAAATAAACGGTACCATTTTTCCGTTTTGTGTGGGGCAAAATACATATACTTACATACATACATACATACATACATACATACATATATATATATATATATATATATATATATATATATATATATATATATATATATATATATATATAAAGGCATTTTTTATGATTATATATTCTTTTATAGATAAAATATTTAAGTAAATGCTCTGTTTATAATAAACAGTATGAAATAATATAAAATAATTGTCGGACTTTGTCCATTTCATTATATATATATATATATATATATATATATATATATATATATATATATATATATATATATATATATATATATAATCATAAATATTATATAAGTAATTTATAAATTTATATAAATTGGAAATCCACACCCAGAGGCGATCGTCTGTTTCATGCTAAATCGTCACCCATACATACATACATACATAAATATATATATATATATATATATATATATATATATATATATATATATATATATATATATGTGTGTGTGTGTGTGTGTGTGTGTGTGTGTGTATGTTTATGTTTAAATATATATATATAGAGAGAGCCAATGAGTGAGTGAGGGAGATAATGTGGAATAGAGAGAGAAATAGTATTAGTGTGTTTGAGTAAGTGGTAGTCACTATATTGCCTCAACATATATTGGCGGGCGTATATATCTGAGTGTTTTGCCTGTGTGTTCGTTTACTGCTAAACTGCAAGTAGTGAGACTGCGGCAAAACATTCCGTTTCTTACAATATGGTAGTATTTGGAATTTTGAGGCGTCATATAGCAAAGTATTAAGTTTTTAAATCGTTTTCTTTTTTCCCCTTATACAATTTAATTAAAATTTTCTTCTTTCTAGAAGGAAGAAAATTGATTAAACTAATTTATATTTAAATCTGTGTAAATCGTAGGCTTGTATTTAACTTTCATTCTCAAAAAAGTAATTTTAATTTATCAACACCATAATAAAAAAGAGCAGATAACAAAATAAATAATCACATATAAATCATATACAAGGTGCGGCAAATGTAAATCAATTTTAATTTATTAATTTTTGTTGAACAAAAATAAATTTATATATATTGGCACATCAAAACAACATGATTTGACTATTTAACACGTTCAAAATGTCTCCTTCATATTCAATACAATGCTGAACAACATTTCTACAACATTACTACAAACCATTTCACATATTTCTACATTAATTTTAGAAAACTGATCAGAAATTGCTTGTTTTAATACAGGAATTGTTTTCGGTTTGAGCCTGTAAACATGATTTTTCAGTATAGTCATCAACATATAGTCAAGTTTGGTGGTGTTAGGTCGGGTAAACACAATGGCTGGGTAATCATTATGACATTGAGCAATTGGTTTAACTCATCCTATCCATTTCAACTAGGAAAAACGAATGGTTTTACTTTTGCCGTACCCTATATATATATATATATATATATATATATTTTTACTTTTTGCTGTACTATATATATATATATATATATATATATATATATATATATATATATATCTGATAAGATAGTTGGAGGAGACAGAGGGGTTAAATAGAAAGATATATTCGTAAGATTAGTGCAACACAGTGACAAATTTCTGTGGTACCCATTTAAGTATGGACAAACAAATATTTTCCAGCTGTCCATATATTACAAGGTTATATGTATTCTTTTGATGAATATTTACCCAGGCCTTGTGTCAGACGAAATGTAGTTTACTAATATATATATATATATATATATATATATATATATATATATATATAGGTAACTATACTCGTTTCGAAAAACCTTCGAATTTTTGATTTGCCAATAATCAAATCAATGTCGAGGGAAAAAATGTTTTAAAAAAAGAAAGCGCTAGAAACATGAAAGTCTGTCGAAAATAAATCGCACAGATACAGGTTCAAAGCCCAAAGAAAAAAAACCGACACGAGTAAGCAACTAACTAACAAAAGAGCTCAATACAAGCGTAGAGCAGACCTAGATAAACCTAGTGAGCCAGACAAACCTACCCAGGTTTCACCTAAGCAGGTCATCAGGAAAGCCTGGGTAGGTTTGTCTGGCTCACTAGGTTTATCTATCATTATCTATCTATCTATCTATCTATATATATATATATATATATATATATATATATATATATATATTAGTAAACTAGTATATGTATATATAATTTATAAATGTCTATGATTTTACCAATTTCATAGATATGTAGAAAATTACTAGTTATTAATTGTTATGATTAACAAACTATTTTCAAAATGTTCAAAATTCTCCCCTTCCTTTTCAAAACAACGCTGAACAACATCAGTAGCATTTTTACAAAGCATTTCACATATCCCTACATTAATTTCAGAAAACTGAGCAGAAAATTTATAATAAAGTATTGTCGCATCAAGACCAAGAGATTTGTTATGATTAACAAACTATTTAACATTGGCAAAATGTTCTCTTTAATGTTCAATACAACGCTGAATTCTATCATCAACACATCTTCATACCGTTTGACAGATTTCGACATTAATATCAGAAAATGTAACAGAAATTGCTTCTTTTAATTCAGCGGTTGTTTTCGCTTTGAGTCTGTAAACAAGACATTTTAGTACAGTCGACAAGAAAAAGTTTGGTGTTGTTAGGTCTTGTGATCGCGATGGCCACTCATTCATGCCACATTGTTCTGGACATCTCAACTCGAAAATGTATGTAACTTTTGACACATCCTGTATGTATGTATGTATGTATGTATGTATCTTGAGGTATAATGGATGCACGGTGGAGTAATACATAGCAGCTTGGATGTTTATTCGGGTCAACAGAAGTAGTATATTTCTTTATAAAAAAAATCAAATTATCT